TATTATAAAAAAAACCCTATTGTTTGCATAATTACAATCACCATCTCAATTATGTATTGTCTTACCCATCCACCCTTACGATGTAAAATTTAACTGCATGTGTTCATCCGGTTGGTAAACCGATCTAATCGAACCGAACAAAAATTCATACATGTCGATTACCGAATCGTTAATTCGGTGTGGTATTCACTTTTATTTTATTTATATTTATATATGCACTATTAGTATTTAAACTAAAATAAATTAAAAAAATGAAAAAAAAATCAAAAAATTTAAATATACAATGATGAAGGTTTTTTTTTTTTTTTTCGTAATTTGTCATACTCCTTGAACACTCATGTCTCATAGTGATGGATCCGGTATTGTTATTTTTACTATGGGCTTATGAACTTCTAATGGGCCTAGTATTGCCTATCTAAGGGTGTTCCGATTTCGATCCGAATATTTCTGATTTTGGAACGATTTTTTTTATAGTCGGATTTCCGATTTTTTTGAAAAAAAAGTATCGGAATCGGAATGTATATATAATATTCGGAATTTCCGAATTCCGGTCCAAAAATAGTTCCAAAATTTCCGATAGTAATTCCAATTTTTTTCCGAAATTTATATATATTTTGAATTATTTTATACATACATATTACTTATTATTCATATAAGACTTAATTCATTACTTTGGGCTGGACTGAAAAGTTATTTGCTTTGTAAATAATTAATTTCGATCCAATAATATTATCCCATACAACTACCCACCTTCAAGCAATTGCCCTAATTCTGTGTGTAGATTTACACCGATTAAGTGGTCCTGTTGTTGGTTTAATTATTTGGTTTTGAAATTGATGCATCTGCTCTACCAATTTCTTGATTTTATTTTAATTTAATGTTGATGTGTAATTTGTTGTAGGTAATATATGAGGTATATTTATTGGATAAAGGAACAATGGAAGTACTTGGAGTGTCTAAACGTAGAGTGGCTGGGTACGAATACAATTACCGTTTCTCGATCGACGACGAAATAGTTAAACTATATAAATTTGAATACCACCGAGGAGAAAAAACCTATCTTTTCGAGATCAGAACAGGCTTCATCATGAAGACAATCGAAGGTGAAGATAGGATTATGAACTCGGAGAGATTCGACGCCAAAATGTACGGCGATTGCGAACAAAGTCTTATGGTAGATGTCGTTTACAGGCTCGGAGAATATTGGATGATTCAAGATGAAATCATAGAGTTTGTTGAAAAGGCATTTAATTTCGCAGTTCAAACGGGCAAGGAGCCTAACAATGGATCCCGTTGGTTAATCCCTATAGTTGTTCATCTCGAGGTTTGCACAGTTCAGCAAGAAGGCGAGTCGGTTGACTCAGTCAACGACCGAGCCATAAGGGAAGAAAAATTGGTACCGTTTGTCATTTTCCCTAGGGCTGCGAATCCGAAAAATTATCCTAACAATCTTCTGTGCAATTTGTTTAGACTAATGACGGGTTCGATTAAAATCGGAGAGGCTCACCCGGCCAAGACTAGGGTTGAGGATGTTGAAGATGGAATGGCGATTATGCCCTTATGCGATATTTGTTTGAGTGGGCCGATGCTGGGGACTTATATATCGGTGCTCCCTGCGTGCAATCATGCTTTCCATTCACATTGCATTGTGAAGTGGATGCTCGGCAGAAACTATATGTGCCCTACTTGCAATGTTTCTGCGTATCCGTATGTTCAGGCGGGTCTTAATCATCCACTTCCACTTCCACGTCGTCCGGTTCGTCCGGTTCCACGTTGAAACAACGAGACGAAGTTTGCAACTTTCTTTTATGATTATTACTATTACTCTATTAATTAATGTTGTGATTAGACGATGGATTCTTGAATGTTTTTTTTTTTCCACCTAGTTTGTTATTATTAATATATTATTATGCCTTAGTGTTGATGAACTTATATATGCAGTCTTTCATGTTTATTCAGCATACTGTATACCTTGATTTATTTATGTATTGTTTTGGTTTAAGAAACTAAACTACCACAATGCATTGTGAAGTTGTATACATAATAAATTAGCTACTTAAAGTTGCTTCATATATACAGATAAAAAAAATATATAAATATTAATGCTAAGCTCTTTAACCATAAATATTTTAGTTATAAATTTTATGTTTAGGTTCTCTTTCTATGACCATATGTGGCTTGGCACGATGTTACACTTGGTGAAATACATCGGGTAATTATTAATTGTTAATATAGTGGATCAAACAAAATGACAGATCAATGGTTAATAATCCCATTTGGCTCGTCAAACTCTCCCATCATTAGGCTAAACAAATAATACCCGGTGCAATAAATGGACCAATTTCTCCTCTCGGATGACTCGGTCGTTGATAATGCAATGCAAAGTTAGTAGATAAAAGAATCAAAAAATAGCTTAATTCTTTTACCTAGTGATTTTCCCCAAATACAGACGCATGAAAAATGGATCAAAATTAAATTTACATTGACCGAAGGCAAAACAAACCAGCCCCTTAATCATCCCTTATATTGTTCCTTAGTATCCGTTAAATCTCGATTTTTTTCGCGCTATCCTCAACTACTCAGTCCAATCATCAAACACTTATCTAAAAAAAGAATAGGGTTTGTAGTCTCTCTACATCTCTCTTGTCATATCTTTGTTGTCTTTTTCCTTAATTTCATCCTGAGGTACTTTCATTCTTCATTTTTTTTTTATTATTATTATTTTTTTTATTAAATTTTTGATTCTGTACTGTGGTGGATTTTATATTATTTTGTTATTAATTATCATTCTGATTAAGCTGTCGATCTTGAATTCAGATTGAAATGCTTTTCTCATCATGGTTTTTTAATTTTTTTTAATTAAAAAA